GTTGGCCATGGGAATTCTGTGAGCCAAGTTTAGTTCAATTCCATCGTTGGTTGAGTTCAGAATGCTCTCTAATTGTAGGTGAACTATAAATTCCAGCAACTACAACTCCCAAATGACAAAATCAGTCCGGGTATTTGTGTCAAATTTGGTCCAGTGAATGATGAAAAAAACATCCTGCATATCAGGTATTTACATTACAATTCATAACAGTAGCAAAATGACAGTTATGAAATAGCAACAAAACGAATTTTATGGTTGGGGGGTCACCACAAAATGAGGAACTGTATTAAGGGGTCGCGGCATTGGGAAGGTTGAAAACCACTGCTCTAGGTCCTCCAAATCGATTCTATGTTCAGCTTCCATCCAGTCATGCTGGAAGACCAACAAATTACTGGAGAGGTGTTCTCTTGGATAACACAATAGCAACTTCTTTATTTGCAGTTTTTCACTTTCATGGGAGTTGTGTGCTTCTAACTCCAGTGAAGGTGGGGGCATTTTACACAAGTTTATGTAATAATTTAATGCATCAAACAAGGCTTGTGTACATCGAACCATCAGAAGGCAAAGACATCACTATCTGAGGCTCCGTCTACATTGCCATATAATCTATTTCAAAGCAGATAATCAGGATTTTATATGTAGCCAATTTGGGACTATTTCAGATTTTAGCATTCTGGATAAGGGACGCTCAACCTGTGTAAGATAATATAGTATTGAGTAATAACATATAGCATAGCCCAACCCAGCGTGTTTGCACCTGTCATCCTCGCAAGGACAAGATTGAGCCCCATCAGCATTTCGAACCTGTAATGCTCCTCCACTCTATACATTAATATTTCAAACCGATGGCGTCTGCTGCTCATTTTGGGAAGGAACGAGAGGCTAATGGAAAGAGCGGTTGGGGAGTTGGGGCTTGTACATCTAAGGCCTGGGATGTATGCCCAGAGGTTTCGTCTTCCCGCCCTATAGCGCTAAACTGTGCTGTGCCTCCGTTGTTGGAGGCTTATAAAGCAGTGACGCTTGGAAAGTATACCTCAGAAGGGTTTTTCTTTTCCTCCGGGCCGTTTGATCTCTGCTGCTGATCTGAGCAAGCCATTTCCTGACTGAGTCACATTGCATGTTGCATCCAAGCTACTGCTGACTGAGTTGGAGTTGGCTGAGCATATTGACAAGTTGATGGTAAAGGAATACAGTAATTCTGGATCTCTTCTTCTTCCTCTTTCGGTTTCCCTGACTTGTGTTTACTAGAAATAAGATCAAGCACTTTAGTTTGTTACTGCAAACTGAGTCTTCCTTATCCCAAATACTTGGGACCAGAAGTGTTTTGGATTTCAGATTGCTTCGGATTTTGGAGTGCCTGTATTTGCACGTACATGCATAACGAAGCACCTTTGGAAATGAGGTAAAAAGGTAAAGGTTTTCCCCTGACATTAAGTCCAGTCGTGTCCGACTCCATCTCAATTTCTAATCCGAAGAGGCTGCGTTGTCCGTAGACTCCTCCAAGGTCATGTGGCCAGCATGACTACATGGAGCGCCGTTACCTTCTCTCTGGAGTGGTACCTATTGATCTACTCACATTTGCAAGTTTTTGAACTGCTACGTTGGCAGAAGCTGGGGCTGACAGCAGAAGCTCACCCCACTCCCCGGATTCCTGCAACCTTTTGGTCAATAACTGAGCAGCTCAGCAGTTTAACCCACTGCGCCACAAAAATGAGACTGAAGTCTACACACAAAATTCATATATGTTTCAGATACACTTAGTCTGAAGGTAAATTTATACAACAGTTTAATAATTGGGTTGCTGTGAGTTTTCCAGGCTGTATGTTCCTGAAGCATTCTCTCCTGGCGTTTTGCCCACATCTGCAGCAGGCGTCCTCAGAGGTTGTGAGGTCTGTTGGAAACTAGGCAAGTGGGGTTTATAAATGTATGGAATGTCCAGGGTGGGAGAAAGAACTCTTGTCTGCTTGAGGCAAATGTGAATGTTTCAGTTGGCAGATTTGATGAGCATTTAATGGCCTTGTAGCTTCAAAGACTGGCTGATCCTTTGTTGGGAGTTGTTTGCTGGCCCTGATTGATTCTTGTCTGGAATTCCCCTCACAACCTCTGAGGATGTCTGCCATAGATGTGGGTGAAGTGTCAGGAGAAAATGCTTCTGGAACATGGCCATACAGCCCAGAAAACTCACAGCAAACCAGTGATTCCAGCCATGAAAGTCTTCAATAATGCAGTTTAATATTTTGTGCATGAAACAAACCATCAAAAAACAAGGTGTCACTGTCTCAGTCACCCATCCCAACAATTTCGGAGTATTTCAGATTTTGGAATTTGTGATAAGGAACGTTCAACCTGTATCTGACGAAGACAACTGAAATTATGCAGTCAGCCATCTACAGTCATTGAGGTTAAGAGCATAGAACCATCATGAAGGTGAGAAACCATGAAATCGATATTGTTTACTGGAGAGGAAGGAAGGAAGGAAGGAAGGAAGGAAGGAAGGAAGGAAGGAAGGAAGGAAGGAAGGAAGGAAGGAAGGAAGGAAGGAAGTGTTTTGAGAACTGTTATATGAAAGATATCTCTTTGAGGACAATAGTTAAAGCCTTCAAGGAGAAGGAGAAGAAATGTTGGCTCATGTTTAACTTGTTGTCCACGAGGACTCCAAGATCTTACGTGTGAAAAAGATCTTGGAGTCCTCGTGGACAACAAGTTAAACATGAGCCAAACAATGTGATGTGGCAGCAAAAAAAGCCAATGGGATTTTGGCCTGCATCAATAGGAGCATAGTGTCTAGATCCAGGGAAGTAATGATACCCCTCTATTCTGCTTTGGTTAGACCACACCTGGAATATTGTGTCCAATTCTGGGCACCACAATTCAAGAGAGATATTGACAAGCTGGAATGTGTCCAGAGGAGGGCGACTAAAATGATCAAGGGTCTGGAGAACAAGCCCTATGAGGAGCGGCTTCAGGAGCTGGGCATGTTTAGCCTGAAGAAGAGAAGGCTGAGAGGAGATATGATAGCCATGTATAAATATGTGAGAGGAAGCCACAGGGAGGAGGGAGCAAGCTTGTTTTCTGCTTCCTTGGAGACTAGGACACAATGGAACAATGGCTTCAAACTACAAGAGAGGAGATTCCATCTGAACATGAGGAAGAACTTCCTGACTGTGAGAGCCGTTCAGCAGTGGAACTCTTTCCCGGAGTGTGGTGGAGGCTCCTTCTTTGGAAGCTTTTAAACAGAGGCTGGATGGCCATCTGTCAGGGGTGATTTGAATGCAATATTCCTGCTTCTTGGCAGGGGGTTGGACTGGATGGCCCATGAGGTCTCTTCCAACTCTTTGATTCTATGATTCTATGAAATGTAGTAGGCCTCTATAGTGATTAGAGTTGTGGTGTGGAAGGAAGATTCAAAAGGTTCAAAATAACCTGTTTGCATTCCTGTGTGTGGAACTTTAAGAAACTCAAGTTGTAAGTCCATTCTCTCTAAAAAGTAAAACCTGACCATTTATATGAAACCATTACGCATATTGACTGTTCAGGAACAAAATAAACAACATATTTTTGTTTTATTTCACCTGAGTTCGTGGCTTCTTAAACATTCTAGTTGAAGGAGGTGGCCTATGAAATAATAAATTGGTGGCAGCAAAGGGAAATATAATATACAGTGGTAGCTTCCCACTGTCTGGCCTTGTGTGTGAGAGTCTGCGTGTTCTGGTCCTCTCACGGCCTTGGCTGGGCCATACCTTGCCGTTTGTCATCCATCTTTGTTGCACAGGACCATCCCAATTATACATATACCAAACATGCACAAAAATTAAATCCCTCAGCCCTTTCATACTTGCTCTTGTATTGGAAACTAAAAGGTCTTGATTGGTTTGTATTTGTCCCACAAAAGAGGAGCTCTGTGCACATCAAAAGAAGAGCTAAGGGGCTTCTGATATTGTCTTACCACCAGATTGATGAGATGGGAAGCTTGGTTGTACCTTTCACACATTATATACACAAATGAAATTTCCTAGGCCCTTAAATTTTGTACTGAAACCAGGGACATTTTGATTTACGATCCCATTTCTCAAAGGTGGCCAATTGGGATGTATCACTTAAGAAATGCATGGGTAACATGCAAAACTTTGGAAACTTGAAGAGATACCGGACATCGACAATTGGATGTGAACTAAGAGAAATCAGAGATATGGACAAATTAACTTTTTTTTAAAGAAGGTCTCAGGAAGTCCAACAAAACGTACTGACTGGAATCTTTTGATGAATACGAAAAAAAGATAGAAGTTAAGCAGGGGTAAATATGGGAAAAGGCAAATTGGAAGAAAAATGTCTTTTACTCTCTCTCTCTCTCTATATATATATATATAACTATAATTGCAGAGGCTTAGAATGGAAGTTTAAAGAGTCTCCTCTTCCTTTTTTTCCTTTTTCCTTTTTCAACTCTACCCTTATTTTTGTCAAGATTTTTAAATCTTTATTTCCTACTTTTCTTTAACCACCACTTTTTACGTAAATGGAAATCTCTTTTTGTATGTTTCATAATTATTTTTTTAAAAAAAAGAAATACATGGGTACACCTCGGTTAACAAAGATACTCCTTTTTTTAACCAAAACTTATGGTGAACCCAACATAAGATTTTCTTGGAATAGAGGGTTTCCTTTGGTTTCTTCTGAGACAGAAAAAGTGTGATTTGCTCAGTCACCCATTGGATTTCCATGGTTGAGCAGGGATTTGAACCCTGGTCTCCCGAGTCATAAGGTAAAGGTAAAACTTTCCCCTTGACATTCAGTCTAGTTGTGTATGACTCTGGGGGGTGGTGCTCATCTCCATTTCTAACATGAAGAGTCAGCATTGTCCATAGAAGCCTCCAAGGTCATGACCGCATGGAGCACAGTCATAATCCAATGCTTAAACTATTACACCATACTGACTATAATGGATATTTCCCATTGCTTTGTTGTTTTATGATATCTAGTCTCTTTGTCTCTTCCCTCTCCAGCTCTTCATGCTAGATAACTCTTTGACGGACTGGCGGATTGCAGTCAGTGCTCCAAAGCTGGGCCTGATTGCTCTGGAGCTTTTGGTGTGCCTCCTTCATCCCTTCCCAGTCGGAAGCTTCCCTTGCTTGGACCCTAAACCTGAGCACACCTTCTTGTTCCTCTCTGACATGGACATGCTGCTCTCGCTGCTCATGTTCCTCCGTCTCTACCTGGTGCCCCGGGCTGTGCTGCTGCGGAGCAGTGTGTTGGGAGACGCCTCTTACCGCAGCATCGGATCCCTCAATAAAATCCACTTCCAGTACCCTTTTGTGCTGCGGGTGATGGTGAACAGCCAACCAGGCCGGGTGCTGCTCATCTTTACCATGGGACTGTGGCTTATTGCCTTCTGGGTGCTGTCGGTCTGCGAACGGTGAGGACCTGTTGCTGGAGAAGTTGCTTTCGGAGGGGGGAAAAACCTGCTGGAGGCAGGCAGAGGAGGGATTAAGAGCTCTAAATACCCTCTTTCAGCTCACCGCATTTTTGTATTGGGCACGCTGATGTGTTTTAGAAATAGAGAGTTTGAACTCCTTCTGTGGTCTCCTGGCCTTACAAGGGACACAATCCTTCCTTCGTAGTATAACCGTTTTCTAGTTCCCCAGCTTTTATATTGATTTACAAATATACCACGTTTTGAAAGATTGGCATGCATCTTCCAAGGCTTTCTGACCAAATAACTTTGGAACATTCCTCCTTGCCTTTGGCTCCAGCAACTACTAATGTGGTTCCTGAGATGTTTTCTGAAATTGAATTGGGCTCAGAGGCTGAAAGAGGTTTCCTAATATTGCTTCAGATCAGGAGAGGACAAGGTGTGTATGGTTCCATAGCCTCCAAAGTGGTTGTTGAATCCTGAAACATATTGATTTTCTTGACATCCCCAAATGGCTTTGTCAGCCTATGCATGAGCCCATGTGCTGTTCCTTGCCTTCTATGGTGACAAAATGAAGGAGGCACCATGGCTTTTTTGTCCTTATGGAGCACCCTGTAAAGGAATGGCTTTAGACCAGCATTTTTCAACCTGGGGATTGGGACCCCTGGGAGGGTCACGAGGAGGTGTCATAGAGGTCACCAAATACCATCAGAAAACACAGTAATTTCTGTTGGTCCTGGGGGTTCTGTGTGGGAAGTTTGGCCCAATTTTATTGTTGGTGGGGTTCAGAATGGTGAACTATAAATCCCTGCAACTACAACTCTCAAATATCAAGGTCTATTTTCCCCAAACTGCACCAATGTTCCATTTGGACATATTGAGTATTCGTGCCAAGTTTGGTCCAGAGCCATCGTTGTTTGAATCCACAGTGTGCTCTGGATGTAGGTGAACTACAACTCCAAAACTCAAGGTCAATGCCTACCAAACCCTTCCAGTATTTTCTGTTGGTAATGGGAGTTCTGTGTGCCAAGTTGGGTTCAGTTCTATCGTTGGCGGAGTCCTGAATGCTCTTTGATTGTAGGTGAACTATACATTCCTCCAACTACAACTTCCAAATGACAAAATCAATCCCCCCCAACCCCACTAGTATTCAAATTTGGGCGTATCGGGTATTTGTGCCAAATTTGGTCCAGTGAATATATTTATATTACAGTTCATAACATTAGCAAAATTACAGTTATGAAGTAGCAACGAAAATAATGTTATGGTTGGGGGTCACTACAACATGAGGAACTGCATTAAAGGGTCACGGCATTAGTAAGGTTGAGAACCCCTGCTTTAGACCTTCCCACCAAAGGATCCTTCCTCCCTTCTCAATCTAGTTTTCTCAATTCTTCATTCCCTAAAAGGTCTTTCTCCTCTTCTCATTGTTATCCAGCCAACGGCTTACCAGAGGCTGTCAGGCTTAGTGGAAAAAAAATAACATTTTTGTCACTTTAGGTGACACTGATTCAAGAAAGCCCAGGAAGAAAGAATAATGTTTCTATATATGATTGCAAAACAAAACCAGGTCATCTTTAAAATCAACATATGAGGCTCAAAGTTGTCGAGTTGGGTGGACAGGCAGAGGGGTAGATATGATAAGCCTATAGGTAAACAGACATAAATACATTGTATATTGAACTTTTCTTGTTAGGCAACATATGGATGAAAATGAGTACCTGGCAGGAACATTCTGGCTGATTCCCATCACTTTTCTGACTATTGGTTATGGGGACGTGGTGCCAGTAACAACATGTGGGAAAGTGGTGTGTCTCTTCACTGGAGTTATGGTAAGTAGCATGTCCACGGAGTATGTGGCACTCATGCGCAACCTTTCCAGATTTTGAAGGTGTCATTGCATGACATTTGAAGCCCATATCTGAAGATCTGAGTTTTTAAATTTAAATCCTTTGGTTTGTTTTCATTTTTGACCAAATTCCAAATAAGATGACAAGAGTTAAATAGCATTTCCTTGAGATGGCACAATCTAAATATCATTTCTGCATTGTCCATCAGATCCTGAATAATGGTACATGTCAACTCTCAGCAAATATAGAAATCCACTGTTGACGTCTGATTAAGAAATACTGGGTTGGATCCAGACTTAATGCTTACGGGAGACAGTTGGAAATGAATAAGTCTTGAGTTAATCATACCTGAAATCTCCCTGATGGAGCAATGGGTTTACTCAGTTGGGCAAAAAGGGGAATCCCCTGAAATAATATCATCTGATAATGTTGGCGAACACACATTTGGTATCCAGGCTTACAGTGGAGGAATCTATTCCAGCTCTGTGTGAATTCTGAGCATCTTCAAACTACTAAGTATCATGACTTGGAGAGTGAGAACATTTTTGGCTTCCCTTAGGGGAGCAAAATATTTTAAGCTTAGTGTTATTACTCCTGGAATCTTCCATCCAGCATGACCAAAAGGGAATTCTGGAAGTTGTAGTCCAGTATTTCTAATCTATGTCTTTCAGCTAGCTGTTTGTTGCACCCCAGGCCAGGAAACACCTCTGTACTTAACCACCTCACGCCAGTCCATGTTAAATCAGTAAAGCAGTTTATTGAAGATTATATAAAAAGCAAACAGCAAAAATATTTAAAACTTCAAAGTCCAAATGTATCAATAATCCACAAGGTTCCAGGAGCAAGAATAATCAAGAGTCTCATGGCTGCAAGGCACCCAAAACAAGAATACAAGAAAACCCAGGAAACATAGAATCTAATACAGAAATACAGGAACAATCCCTGGTACTTGAAAACAAGAACATGAAGAAAGGCATAAAACTAGAAGTCTCTAAGCAGGCATGGCTTGACAAGAGCTGTTGTCAAGCTTAAGATCGTCTGGGGAGGC